ATTAAGGCAGCTAAATCCGAATTAAAGTCCTAGTGTAGACCAGGCCTTAGATGTCCCACCATCAGAAATTCAGGCCAGGCTGGGCTCCTTAAGTGTATGTGAGTGGAGTGATGCCTGCACTGTGTGGACACACACAGGCCTTCCAGATGCAGGCTGAGGGGAGAGGGCTTCCCAGGTTGGAAAGACAAGTGCTAGTTCTGCTCAAGCTGGCACGCTAAAACGAGTAGTGTAACCAGCAGTCACACGGCTGGCAGCTTGGCCTAGCCCCCCAAGCACAAACCCAGCCAGACCCACTGAGTACGTTCAGGCAGGTGTTTAGTGCACTTGCGCAAGCAGAACTAGCCCACGTCTCCTCAGCCTGGGAAGCACCCTCCCAAGTGAAGTGTGAACAATAAGAACGGCCATACTGGGTCAGACCAAAGGTCCATCTAGCCCAGTATCCTGTCTCCCGACAGTGGCCAATGCCAGGTGCCCCAGAGGGAACGAACAGAACAGGTAACCATCAAGTGATCCATCCCCTGTCATCCACTCCCAGCCTCTGGCAAACAGAGCCTAGGGCCACCCTCCCTCTCATCCTGGCTAATAGCCATTGATAGACCTATCCCCCAGGAATGTATCTAGTTCTTTTTTGAACCCTTAAGTATCTTGGTCTTCACAACATTCCACAGGTTGACAGCCTATTGTGTGAAGAAATACTTCCTTTTGTTTTAAACCTCCGGCCTATTAACTTCATTTGGTGACTCCTGGTTCCTGTGGTCTGAGGAATAACTAACACTTCCTTATTTACTTTCTCCATAACAGTCATGATTTTATAGACCATCATATCCTCCCTTAGTCATCTCTTTTGCAAGCTGAGAAATCCCTTTTATTAATCTCTCCTTATATGGAAGCTGTTCTATACCCCTCAAGTTTTGTTGCCCTTCTCTGAACCTTTTCCAATGTATCTTTTTTGAGATGGGGCATCCACATCTGTACACAGTGTTCAAGATGTGGGCGTACCATGGATTTTGTATGTGTGTGTACACACACACACACACACACACACACACACACACACACTATCCCATTCCTAATGATTCCCAACATTCTTTTTTGACTGCCCCTGCACATTGAGCAGAGAACTATACACAACACCTCCAAGATCTTTCTTGAGTGGTAACAGCTAATTTAGACCCCATCGTTTTATGTGTATCCCTGGGATTATGTTTTCTAATATGTATTACTTTGGAAGGAGGGTAAAGCAGAAGGGACAGCAGAGACCTTCCCCCCCCCCCTTACATTACCCTTTGACAGCAGCCCTGCCACTCTGCCCAAGTGCTGGGCTCCAGGGTAGATAGGGGCCACTTACCCTAGCCCATTACTTGCCCCTGGTGCTAGCAACAGCCTAGTTTTTGGTAGTAGGGAGACGGAGGAGGGAACGAAGAGCCTAGCCCTTGGGAAGAAGAGACTTGGCTGATTAGTTTTTAAAGCTGATTTTTATTTCGTGGTCTCCAGATATCTTCTGAAAGAGTTAAAAGGTTTGCTAAGTATGTGCACAGGCAGCTTCACGACCAGGCAGCAACCCTTCCAGCTCCCATGGAGCGGGTCTCCCTGCTTACATTATGAAACCTCTGAGACAGATGCCTGTATCAATAAAAAAAGCCCCAAACCCCCACCCACTAATCCCAGACTGCTCCCCCTTTTAAGCCTGCTATGGATGCCTGGCAGCACTGCAATCAATACTAGAGCAACCCGCCAAGATGCAGACACTGCCTGCTGCTGTGGCCAATAGCACTGCTCAACTGACTCTCCTTCACAACAAAGTAGCCTCAGCAGCAAGCACGCTCTGCCTCCAACCACAACACGGAGACTGCAAGACCACCGCGAAACCTGACGTACAGCCTACTCCTAGAGCAAGGCAGCTGGGAGGGCATAGGACTGGGGACACCACCAGATCCCAGGCTGGGAAGCCATGGTGGTGAGGAACCCGCGGAGAGAGGGAGAGGTGCCGTTTCGGAGGGGAGGGAGGGAAGTGGAAACGTGACGTGCGACGTGTCAGCGGTCAGTCCCATCAGCCCCAGGATGGATGAAAGAGCAGCGTGGCAGTGGTAACCGCATCCCACCGCCCCGTGGAACGGGAGAGTTTCCCACCGCCGCGTTCCCCCAGCTTGTGCAGAGAGGTTTCGGATCACTAGGAGTCCTGCCAGACACACAACTAGACAGATTAAAAGAAGTCAATTTTCTTTTCCCCATCTCCCCCCACCCAAAAGATATAGGTTCACAAGCCACGGAGTGACCCCAACTCCATCGAGCCAGGCCCGGCCCAGTGGAATTTCTAGTCTGAGTCACTGGAATCCAAGAGGAAAATCTCATGGCAGTAGTCTGGATCATCGATGTCCCCCCGCAGCAGCGCAAAGGTGAGAGCCCATTGGAACAAGCACACATCATCGTCCTCCTCCTCGGAGCTCTCAGAGGGAGAGGGATTGAATGCCTGCAACAGGACAACAACAACATGCTTATCCCTTAGCCCAGCTGGGGAAGATGAGAACCGACCCCACCCCCTGCAAGGTGTGGCCGCACGTGTGGTATTTCCTATTCACCAGCCATGACTTGGATGGAGGTTTTATCTCCCTCAGATCTGCCCTGGGGAACTAGGGTGTCCTGACAGCCACTAGCGGGAGACAGACATCCTGGTGTTGAGGGAGGACCAGCCAGGAAAGATTAACTGTAAGGAGCAACAGCTAAGAGCTCCTCACCAACCCATCCCCCTGGTAAGGAGGCTGCAGCTTCCTCAGGGGACATGCAGCAGTTGCTTTGCTGCATGCAGGACTTGCCTCCAAGCGCTCAGTGGCTGGACAGTCACAGCTGGATCCCCCGATCCAGCCGAGTACTGAGTCGCACTGACTTCAGTGGAAGTGATCGGGTGCTGGAAGTTGGGCACATGCCTAAGTATCTTGCTGAATCAGGGCCCCAGAGCAAAACCTTGGTAGCATTATTGGTTTATGTTTTAACTAGAGCACATTGCTAGACTGGTGGGATTCAGAGTCTCTCTCCCCCCCCCCCCCCCCCATGCTGGCTAGTGCCAACAGCTGTCAACTTAGGAGAGATTCAAGCTGCTTTTGCTTACCACAGGGCCTGTCCTGCATGGAGGTCTCTGTCGAGGGGGCCGCACCCTGGCCGGGAGCTCATGAAGGTAGATGCACTCCGATTTAAAGGGACAGCGGCCACGGCCGCGGGCAAAGAACTTGCATTTTATTTTCCTAGGAGAGTTAAAAGAGTTGCGTTAAACTCAGATGGAAATTCAGGGGTTAATTCTTCCTGCAGGTACCTGCCAACACTAGACCCACAGACCCAGCCTCTCACCCTTCTAGCAAGGGCCATCTCTGTAAGGGAGCACTTTGAACAGCAAAGCCCATCACACAAACCCCATCCCAGCAAGCAAAGGAGCCAGCCACCTACCCTGTCCGCGCCTTGAAGGTTTCTATCAGCTTCTCCTTTTCGTCCCTGTCCGAGACCCAGTATTTGTGGGGGATGAAGTAGCTGGACGTGACCCGGCACTCGGGGCAGGCCCTGTGGGCAGAGACACGGTGCGCATGGGTCATTTGCAGCCAACAGGAATGAATGAGAGGGTGGGGCAGAGGAGGGGGTTCCGCCAGGCCGGCAGAGTACCGACTCCAGGATCAGTGACTCCAGGCCAACCCCTCAGCAGCTGACACTGCTACCTCCTTCTAGACCAGTGGTTCCCAAACTGGGGTTCCTGAAATGTTACAGGGGGTTCTCAGGAAAAAAATTCCCTAATGGCGGACAGAGCTGTCCCTAGGGACCCCGGGCAGCACGGGGCCAGGAGCCCCTGGACTTCCAAGAGCTAAGCAGATCAAAGCAAGCATGTTGATCACACTGAGGAGATTTAAATGTCCTTATAAGAAATGGAAAGGGAGGTGGATATTTTTTGCTGTTTTTAAAATTATTATGAAGAACAAGTTTAAGCTTTGTTGTAATGTGCGTTGTTTGCCTAGACTGCTCAAGACCTGAATGCTTGTGTAGAAGGAACTCTGAGTTGGCTTCTTAAATACCTTCCTGCTGTTTCACATCTGATACTCCTTGATGAAACATAGGAGCCTTGTCTTATAACAGGCTTATTCAAAGTGATACAAGCTACGAAGATCTTGGAAGAGTGTTGCCGTTTTCATAATGTAATAAAAATACTGTAATGATAAATAATAATTAATAATAAATAGTGTGTAATAAGCATGTCATAAAAACAAATTTTATATTTCCAAGATCAGTGCTTTTATAATTTATACTCAGGTAAAGGAGAAAATCCCTGGAAATATTCATTTTTAGGAGGGGGTTTGCGAGACTTGACATTTTAGTGAAAGGGGTTCACAGGTTGTTAAAGTTTGGGAACCACTGTTCTAGACCCACTGCACTAGTCTGTGCTGTGCCCTAGATGCCATTAGAACAGATTTCCCACAACAGGGATGGACCAAGATAACAGGGCTTCCACCACCTCAGCTTTAAAGAAGATGGGGCTGGAGGGTTGTCACTGCGGTTGCTCACGCCATGGCCTGCCCTAAAAGCTCCTTTCCCCCTCCATCAGGGTAGCTGCCAAGCCCTGCCAAGGCCAAGCCACCCATCAGATTGCGGCTCTTTGTGACAAGGGAAATGGGTAGGGTGACCAGACAGCAAATGTGAAAAATCGGGACTGGGATTGGGGGGGGGGGGGTAATAGGTGCCTATATAAGAAAAAGCCCCCAAAATCAGGACTGTCCCTATAAAATCGGGACATCTGGTCACCCTAGAAATGGGACCTAGCCTCCAGCACCAGGTTAGCACATGGGACCCATGTGCCCGTGTGGCATAGCCAGGAACAGGACTCCGGATCCCCATACGTACTTGATCACCGCGTTCTGGAACTCCCGGCTCTTGCGCCACTTGCGGATGCAGCCGACGCAGTAGGCGTGGCTGCAGTTGGGGAGGATGCCAAACACGCGCTCCTCGGGTAAGGTCTTCTCATAGACCTTGTCCATACAGATGCCGCACACCACGTCCTCGCTCCGCAACTCCCCCACCAAAGCAGCAGCTGCGCCCAGCCCACCAGCTGCCTGCACGGAGCAATATAGCCGGCTAGCACTTGGAGACAGAGCCCCCTTCCTTCCACAGAGCTGTGCTGCCTCATCTTCCCCAGGCCGGGCGCCACAGTAAAACCCGGTGCTCAGCTCTGGGCTGGCTGAGTAGCCAGCCTGCTTTGCAGAGGGCCAGCGTCTCAGCTCTGGGCATGGGAAGAGCCGGCGTTCTGCAGACCCCTGCCAGGCTACAAACAGGCCCATAGACAGGGGAGGGGGAAGATCGCACCGGCTTCACCCTACAGAAACGATTGCTTGCAGCCATCTATGGTAGGGTGTCTGGGGGAGGACTCAGGGGAAGGACGGTCCCAGGGCATTAGCCTATTCGAGAGACCTGGGATCAATTCCCTGCTCTGCCACAGACTCCCTGGGTGACCTTGGGGCAAGGCACTTAGCCTCTCGGTGCCTCAGTTCTCCATCTGTGAAATGGGGACAATAGCAGTGCCCGGCCTGACAGACGTTGGGAGGATAAATGCATTAAGGATGGAGAGGTGCTCAGATGCCATGGTGACGGGGGCCAGGTAAGCACAATAGACAGACACTGTAAGAGCATCCCATTGAGAATGTCTGAGTGGCAATGTCATCTTCTTCCCCCTCCCCCCCAAGAGTCTCACTCACCTCTAGGGTTCGAGGTGCTGGGACAATTGCCTTGTTAGATGCAGCCTCTGGTGCCAGGGAAGTTCTCTGCAATCCCAGATCCCATGGTCGGGACCCTGACCAGCAACACAACAGTTAGCATGAGATGCATTCACATAGGACAAAGGGCCTTCAAAAGCCAGTCCACAAAAGCACAGCCAGTCTGCCCCTTGGGGCAGGATCCCAGCTCCATACATCACCTCCCCAGTGGGACCCATCAAGAGCTGCCTGAGCAGATGCAACCTTCTCCAGGCAGGAGGACTAGTCAGCTGGAAGAAACCTAAGGTGCATTGGACAGAAGCACTCCCCATCCATGCTAGAGCCCCGTACGGCACGCCCACCCAGCCAGTCCCAGCCTCCCTTCCGACACTGTTAGCATGCCAGCAGCACTTACCTGATCCACGCGGGGCCTGCCTGGGGACAAACTCTCTGCTGACGGCCCCGTTTGGGGGATACGTGGGGACGGTCTCTTTATCTTCCTCTTCCTCCTCAAACTCTGTGCTCAGCTGCCTGAAGTTCAGTTGCAGCTGTGTCACACTAGGGACAGAGGGCTCCGAGCCACGCCTGGCTCCTCCCCAGCTCCCAGCTGCTGCTTCTGGCCGGACGGCTGGCTCCGAGCCCCGACGGCTCAGCGATAAGGCAGGCTGTGAGCCGCATCTGCTCCAAGCAGGGGCTGGAGGGTCTTGGATGTGCTGGTAGCTGGAAGAGTCAAAGGTTACAGGCTACACAGGGAGGCCCAGTGGTGAGAAACATTCCTATCGGTTAGGTCGCTGGACCGCCCCTTTCTGCTCAGAATCTCATGCCACCGCAGTGTCCGAAGCTTCGCTAGGACAGAGACAAACCAGGGAACAGCTCATCTCCTCAGCTGTAGCAATGACGATGGAGATTTTCAGAATAAGTCTAAAGGATTTAGACACCTCTTCCATTAAAGTTTAATGCTTAGGAAGTCTCAGGCTACATCTACCCTACAAAGCCTATGCTCGCACAGCCCTAGTGTAGACGCCACATATGCCAGCAGGAGGTTTTTTTGCCGGTGTAGGCACACCGCCTCCCCGAACCACATTAGCACTTTCCCCAGGGTTTTTATCAGCATAGCTACAGCACCAGGAAGTGTTTGTTTCTCCCATGTCCCCGCTCGACATAAAACCTATACTGGCACGGCCAAGTGCTTCAACCTAGGACTTCCAGCAGTTGAACAAGCTACAGTCTTCAAGCTATGGCTCACTACAGCCGTCTTGCACCTCTTGGCTGCGAATGTGTCTATGTCTACGCCAGCAGGAGTGGACCCTGTATTCCTCTGCCCACGCAGCTCCCCTGGGGAAACAGGTCTCAGATGTTTTTCCCCATCTTACCTAACCAGATCTCTAGCCTGTTGGAGAATTATGGTTTCCATTTTAGACTAGGCTCTAGAGATTCCGCCCCTACCTCCCGCCCCATTGCTTTAGACCAGGGCTGGGCAAACTACGGCCCGCGGGCCACGTCAGGCCCTAGAGTCTGGACCATGACAAAAAAAAAAAATATATTTGACTGCCCCTGGTCTAGGGTATTTCTAAGGGGCCCATCACCTTGGTCTCTAGCCCAGATCTGCAGATTCCCAGGCAACGTCCTTACCTGCAGCGGTCTCCGTAGCCGCAGAACCCATTCTGGAAATACCTGCAGATCTGGGCTGACTTCCGGTCGTGTGAGAAACGGCAATTCTGACCCCATCTGCAGGCTCCACGGGCAAAGTTCCTGCAGGGAGAACAGAATCCATATTGACTCACAGGCTACCGTCTCTCCAGCTGCACACCAGCTTCCTATGGATACAGCCTCAATGGATACAGCTCCCACTAGTCCATCCGCTCATCCTGACACTCCCTTACTTCCCAGAGGAGTTCAGCGCCTTCCCCAGCCCCAGCCCCAGCCCACTAACCGGGGAGGCTGCAGAAACTAGAGGACGTTTCCTACTGGGGGTGTAAATGATTGCTCAGCGGGGGCCGCACTGTCAGCAAGATTCACTCGGTAGGTCTTCATTTCAGCCTTGTGAGATGCCCAAGTGATGAGCAGCAAACGCCAGGCTCTCATGTCACGGGGGGAGCAGAGCGGCTCCCTTGCATTCTGCGCACATCAGCGAAGCTTGAACACAGGGCTGGGATTTGTAAGGGAGCTGACAGGGACTGGGCACCCAATTCCCATTGAAATTCAGTAGGATTTGAGCACTTAACTCTCCCGGGCTCCCGTGAAACGCCCAGCCTCGGGCCTGCTGCCCAGTCCAGGGTGCACGGAGGAGAAGCCCATGGATGAGGGCCCAGCAGGGGTGAGAGAACAAGGCCAGCAGCCACTAGTGAGATGCAGAGGGCTCGGACAGCAGCTCAGCTCAGGAGCGCTAGAAACCCAGGGGGTGGACACATCCCATAGGGAGGGCACAGTGCACATCACATAGCCTGGGGAAAAGAGCTATGGTATAGCAGCCTGACTGATCTGGGTGTGTAGTTACATGCTATGGCTGACAGCAAGCAGGGGCATTCCCCAGCCTACAGCCCATCTCAGCACACACAGAGAGACAGTCCACCCCACTGCCAACAGAACTTGGGTAGAGGAAGACGGCTAGGGAGTCAGAGAGCCCCCAGAGGAAGAGCAGGGGACAGGTGGAAACCTGCAGGGGCACTGGAGAAAGGCCACTGCACCCAGCCTAGCAGATTTGATTCAGGGAGAAGAAGCATGGCCAGGCTGGGTAGGGTGACCAGACAGCAAGTGTGAAAAATCGGGTCGGGGGTGGGAGGTAATAGAATCCCATATAAGAAAAAGACCCAAAAATCAGAACTGTCCCTATAAAAAAATCAGTACATCTGGTCACCCTAAGGCGGGGTGAGGTAGCAGGGGAACCCCACAGGAGTATTTTCCCATGGAGAGTCCCAGTCTCACACATGCTTGCTCCAATAACAAGAGCATGAAGAATCAGGAGAGCTGGGAATGCACCTGATTCAGCTTCCCCAAATGGTTAACATGGAGTTCTGATCATTTCAAAAATCAGCAGCCGGTCAGACTTCCCCCAGGCATGAGCCCCTCTCAGGTGGGGAGCAAGGAACGCCTGAAGTTTCAGAGAAGCACTCCAAGAAGTTTGGCTGTTAAACACGTTCAGGACACAAGTTTTGGTGTTTTTTTTTTTTTTTTTACCCCTGGTTGGCTTAAAAGCTGGAGCTATTTACCAAACCATCCAGAGAGCCTGATGCAACGAAAGCGAGGTTGTGCCTGAAATTAGCACAAGAAGTTTCACTACAAAGGGAAGTCAGGTCAGTGGGGAAACCCAAGGGGGAGAAAAAGCAGACGCAGCAGTTTCTGTAGGTTTTGCTGCCTCTGCACAATCAGCTTGTAAGAGCCAGGGTCCTGGCCTTTGCCACTCCAGGGAACCAGAGAATCCTCCAGCGCTGCAAAGAGCCTGCCCCAGCCAGACAATGGTGGCTCTGCCCACAGGCCCCTTTCATCTCCCCCCACGAGGTGTTACCTTCAGAGCCTGTATGGGCGCCATTTCAGGGCCGCCATCCAGGAGACTCGCCTGCTGCCGACTCCCGCCCCATAGCACAAAAAAGGGATCGGGGAGAGCAGTTTGCAGCCCTCCCTCCACAGCCTGGTTTTTGTCTGGGTGGGGCTGCAGGGGCAGTGTCGCAAACCTTCCTGGGCCCTAAGCCCAGCTCAGGAATCGCTCTCTGCCCCTGCAGAGCTGACCTGCAGCCACCCCCCTCCCCAGACCCTACCTGCACAGGACCCTGGAGTAGGGGCCTCTGTTGGGCTGACCCCCTCCAGCTGCTACCAGCGAGCCAGGCTCCATCCTCGCCCAAACACAGAATCAAAGTGCCTCTCTCCCCCCACAGCCCCCTCCAGAACTCTTTATGGGAGGGGAGGGGTTTAAACCAGCCTTCCCCAAGGACTAGCCCATCGGCAAGACAGAGAGGTTAGGACACACCCAGCTGCCCATTAGTTTGGAGTAAGGAATGGTCCCCACCCAGCTACTCACCCCTCCATTGATCAGCTACCTGCGGTAGGTGCACAGGAGGGAGCCAATGGGCGAGCGAACAAGGCTTAACCCCTTCGTTGCTGTGCTTGGAGCGGTTGGAACTTGGTTTATGTTTATTCAGACCAGTGCAGCCAGAGCCAGACCAGAGGGAAAGACCGCCTCATCTCAGGCATTGCAGCCAACTGGTACAATCAATGCTTGCAGAAAGCAGGATGGTCTCCCCCGCTCCCCCCCCCAATCCAACATGTTATTGATGTCCCTGTAAAAATAGAACGTTGTAAAACCAAAGTCTGCAGAGTCTATTGATACCTCAGACTGCAACAGAGACTGAGACCAGGGCCATGGATGTTTGGCCCTCGTGACACCGGCTTTAAAGGGAGACAAAAAAGGACTGAAAAAATAATTGATGTCCCAGGGGGCGTGTGTGTGAAATAGACATAAACAGAGCGAGGAGTGTGGGCCGGTCCGAGAACAGCATCCAGCCAAAAAGCTGGACAGAACGGAACAAAGACAGAATCTTCTGCTGAGCAACCATGGGTGTCCCCATCCTGGCAGGGGACGCTGATCCTGAGGCATCGTCACAGGGTGGTCTTGTGGCTAAAGCAGTGGGCTGGGAGTCAGGTGCTCTGAGTTCCATTTCTGCCTTGACCACAGATACCTTACTCTGACTGAGGGCAAATCACTTGGGCCCAGCTCCTCAAAGGAATTTAGGTTCCTAACTTCCAGTGAAATCCATCAATGGGAGCCTAAATACATTTGAGGAACTGGGTCTTAATGTCTCAGTGCCTCTGTTCCTTATCAATCAATGGGGATAACATTTCCTTTGTCTGTTTAGGCAGTAAGTTCTTTGGGGCAGGAACTCCCTGTATGTACAGCAACTAGCACTCTGGGCCTCTATACTGTAATAAAACCCCAGGGCTGGGTAGGAGTGAGGTAGTGCATACTCCGAGTGTCTTACAATGGTTCGTTGCAATTCTTTGCTGCCTAATCTGGGCAGGGCTTCCGTGAGGGTGTCTATTGGGTGGGGAGGAGAGATGCAGGTTGGATTTAAATAAACTGAAAGCGTTTCCCCAGGGGGGCTATGGCTACACGAGAGAGTTTACAGCGGAGGAGCTGCAGCTGCACCACTGTAAGCTGTCTAACGTAACCACTCTAAGCCGGGAAAGAGCTCTCCCGTTGGCTTAACTACTCCAGCCCCAGAAGCTCTCCTGCCAACACAGCGCTGTCCACACCGGCGCTTCGCTTAGGTCGGTGTAACTTGCGTCACTCAGGGTGGCTTTTTCACATGTAGACAGAGCCTGAGTTTCAGTTTCACTGATGTGACGCCCTGGAATTTTCAACAGCACAAAGGAAGGGGCTACATGGAGCACCCTGCTAGCCCCTGCCACTTCCTGCTTCACACCTGTTCTGCACACAAAGCAAAGTAAATGCAAGGACATGGAATAATTGCTTCCAGGGACGGAACAGTAAAGAATACTTGGCTCTGTCCTTTTCTCTGCTACGTTCTGCAATCTGTTAGCAGCTGCCCTTGGGCCCCAGCTGTCCTGACCATTATAGTTCTACCTCCCCAAACCCTTTCAGATCAGACTTGCTGTTTGTCCCCATTTATGTAGGTGTAAAACCCTGTGCCTTGAGGGGCGGGGGGAACGGGGGAGGCTACTAGACTGTGAAGGGAGTAGCCCAGGTCTGGCACAAAGCAAAACATGACACAACACTTGCATTACAATCCATGCATGCTCAGAAATGCCCTCAGATTCTTGCATCGTATCACAGGCACGTCTGTGTGTATTAGAACAAAGCTGGGCATATAGTACATGTATCCTTGCAGCTGCAGCCTGGTTGGACCCACGCACTTTTATTTCTGCCTGTTTGCTACTACTGATAATTAGTCAGGCCCTGGTTCGGCAAACCCTTAGGCCCAGGTCCTCCAAGGCAGTTAGGTGCCTATCTCCTATTGATTTCAATGGGCGTTAGGCCCTTAAATACCTTGAGGATCTGGGCCTTAGGCATTTGCTTAACCTTAGCACATAAGTAGTGCCAAAGGGCCTAAGGGAGTTAGGTGCCTAAAAGTCCCCTCCACTGACTTTGATGGTACTAGTCATCTGCTTACACTGAAGCATGCCCCGGAAGTGTTTGCAAAATCAGGGCCTTAATGATTGTAAGCACTTTAAATGTACTAGCGCCCTAGCTAAAAGCTAAGTGTTATTTTTTTGTCCAGGCACGGTACTGTATTCATTTGCTTAGCATTCCAGAACAGAAAACTGTGTGGAGCATCTAGACTAGCACCTACAAACACGCTCTTTTTAATTCAAGTTAGCCAGCACTCAACCTCCAGTGGATTAAACCATTCACAGCACCCTAGATCCTGAAAGGAATTTAGGTACCGAATGCCCATTAAAATTAATAGAAATAACTTTGAGGATCTGGGCCTGAGTTCTAAAAACTTTAGGGAGACAAGGGAATACCGTTTGTTGGACCAACTTCTGCAGGGGAGACAGACAAGCTTTTGAGCTTACACCTAGCTCTTCTTCAGATCTAAGCTAAATACAAGGTGGAATAGATTGTTGAACATAAGTAGCTAGCACCTTTCAAGGAACGGTTCAGGGGGAAGTTGAGTGGCCTGTTAACACCTCTCCAATCATAGGGGGGGAAATGGAAGAAGAAAAGAAAAAAAGAGTGATGTGTGTTTTTTAGTGGATTACAGTCCATGATTCAGTCCATGATTTTTAGTGCCTAGCAAAGTTATGAATTTAAGCTCCCAGGTTAGTCTTTTGACAGTGTTGTACAGGTTTTTAAAACTTCAGTGAGGCAGCACAAGCTAGTGAAATGAGCCTAGAGGTGCAACACTCCTGCCACTGACTCTCCCTGGGTGACTTTGGGTAAGTAATTTCACCTCTTTTACCTCGGTTTCACCACCCTCTATAATGGGTCTGAGTTGTTCCCCAGTGCACAAGGTTGTCATGAGGATTCATTAGTTTGCATTTGCAAAGATCTATACGAATGCCAAGTGCTACGTAATGATTGAAAGTTACCGTTACCAACATAAAATACAGCCCAGGGCTTTTTTGTGCAGATGGGGTGGTGCTGGAACAAGACTGTTGCCATCAGCTAATGTACCCCACTACTACAGACATAGAGAGCCCATTCCCCTAGAACACCATGGAAGAGATACAGACAGATCCCTTCAGTTAGCACTTCCCAAACTTTTCAAAGCTGAGGGCTCCTCTTCATGGTGCACAGTACCTGGCTGTGTGGATTTTCACTTGCTGGACGTTCACTAGCTGTAGCAGTGACCACACGGGACGTTACTGCATGGCACGCTGGTGTGCTGTGGTCTTCAGCCCTTGACTTATCCTGCAATAACTCACAATGTAGACAAGCCCTGACTTTCATTTAGGCCAAGGGCACCACGGGGTTGTTACTGTGCTGCATAAAATTCAACTTCAGGAAAATGAAGCCAATTGTGCCCCCTTTAGCCCCTAGAGGCTTACCTGTATTTTTAGACCATCAAAGTATGACACTTCCTCCCCTTTCCCACATGCCCTGATGAGCAGTGAAACAAGGTTGCCATTCAGACTCCTCGTTGACATTGGCATTAGCACGCACTGGAACGAATGGGGCAGTTCACACAGAGCTATTGTTTCAGGCTCTTTGCAGCCTCAGGCAGATATTGGCATAGGTCATGCTCAAATCTGCGGCACAAAAAACTATTTCCCCATGCTAATTTCCCCCCCACTGTTACTCACACCTTCTTATATCAAAGGGGTAGCTGTGTTAGTCTGGCTTTGTAAAAGCAGCAGAGTCCTGTGGCACCTTACAGACTAACAGACGTATAGGAGCATGAGCTTTCGTGGGTGAATACCCACTTATTCACCCACAAAACCTCATGCCCCTATACGTCTGTTAGTCTATAAAGTGCCACAGGACTCACACCTTCTTGTCAACTGTTGGAAATAGGCCATCCTGATTATCACTACAAAAGTTTTTTTTCCTCCTGCTGCTAATATCCCACCTTAATTGATTAGTCTCGTTATAGTTGGTATGGCAACACCCATTTTTTCATGTTCTCTGTGTATATATATATCTTCCTGCTGTATTTTCCACTGCATGTATCCGATGAAGTGGGTTTTAGCCCACGAAAGCTTAGGCTCAAATAAATTTGTTAGTCTCTAAGGTGCCACAAGTACTCCTCGTTCTCTCCCTCCTTCGTTTCAATGACAAAACTATTTGGTGAAATCAGATCTGTTCCAAACACGAACCTACCCCTGTTCCTAGTTTAATCAACAGCAAAACTTCCATGGGGCAGAGCTGAGCCCAGAGAGAGGAATGATTTGACAGGAGCAGGATTGGGCCCTGGCTGAATATTTATGGGGTTGCCTACACCCGCTCCCCACCTTTGGCTAAAAACCTCATGCTGTAGGCAAGGTAAGGAGCAAGGCCCTGGCACAGCTCACGATTAGCAATGGGTCTGGGTGTGCTGAGTGGAAGAGCAAACGTGGAAAGTGGGAGGGTTTTTGCCATGCTCTTGCTTAAACTAAGAAGTTTACGCAGCACAGTAACAAACCCATGGTGCCCTTGGCCTTCCTAGCCATCAATGTATGTACGTATCAGGGACGCACACAGAACACAGCTCTTCTTGCTCCAAAAGAGAGGCCTCCAGTAACCGCTGTAACAAAGAATCTCTGATAGCAGCAGCACAGGGGCACCGTACCACAGCAGAGCAGCTCTGATTCCATTCAGAAGAGACAGACAGACACCCTCCTGGTGGTTTATTACAACAGCTCTGGCAGTTAGCACCCTTTGTTTGAATGGGCATTTCCCCATGGGCTCTTCCAGCTGCGTAGTTAAGGGCCCAGTTCTACAAGCTGCTGTGCACCTTTCATTCCCATAACCTCAATGGACTCAGCACAGGCTCAGGATCGGGCTGTTAAGTCAACAAGAGCTTTGTTATTAGCTCCAGTGAGTAGGACTGGGCTTGTGCTAAGGGGAGTGTTTGGGACTTCAGCAGAGAGAGTTTAAGGGCCTCTCATACGTGCAGAATGGAAAGAATTCTTGCCATAAAAAATATTTTTGAAAGCTGATGAACGTTGCTCGCGTGAGGTTTCTGCCTGTGAGGAGAAAACACAGCAGAGGATTTGCCCTTTGCTCAGGAACTCTCTTCTTCAAGGACCCTGTGAACCAAACAGATGGGAACAGACAGAGGCGCTACATCGGCAAGACGAGTTAAGGTTATTTTAGATTGGCACAGCTCTTGCAGGGAACGCCTAGGGTGGAGTGCGTGGCGATGTTCCCAGTCCTCTTTTAAAAACATGGTTTTAAAAAAATTCCACAAAATATCCTTTCACTAAACCATCAAAACCCAACACAAAATGGAACATCACAACTCTGTATTTGTGCATGGTTGGAAGAAGGAGAGAGTAGCACAGGAAGCGTCTCATGTCGGCACAATTTACACCAACACAGCAAATTTGCTCCTGCCCAACTTCCCCAGGGTGGAGATAGATATTATTTGCACATGGTTCTTTGGCACATATTCTGTATCCCTCGACAGGTGGCCGGTTTTCCTGAGCACTGCCCTCAGCACAACTGGGGCCCCACAACTACCAAGGGACAGGCTTGAAAAAATTGATTACGAATTCCCTACAGCTCCTAGCACAATGGGATCCTGGTCCATGACTTGGACTCCTACATGCTACGGTAAAATAATTCAGAGCCCTGCTCCTCCAGAGGAGAGACTGAGGGAAGTGGTTTGAGCATTGGCCTGCTAAACCCAGGGTTGTGAGTTCAATCCTTGAGGGGGCCACTTAGGGATCTGGGGCAAAATCAGTACTTGGTCCTGCTAGTGAAGGCAGGGGGCTGGACTCGATGACCTTTCAAGGTCCCTTCCAGTTCTAGGAGATGGGATATCTCCATTAATTTAATTTAATTTAACTGGGCTTATTTAGTCTGCAGAAGAGAAGAGTGAGGGGGGTTTTGATAGCAGCCTTCAACTACCTGAAGGGGGGTTCCAAAGAGGATGGATGTAGGCTGTTCTCAGTGGTGGCAGATGACAGATCAAGGAGCAATGGTCTCAAGTTGCAGTGGGGGAGGTCTAGGCTGGATATTAGGAAAAACTTTTTCACTAGGAGGGTGGTGAAGCACTGGAATGGGTTACTTAGGGAGGTGGTGGAATCTCCATCCTTAGAGGTTTTTAAGGCCTGGCTTGACAAAGCCCTGGCTGGGATGATTTAGTTGGAGATTGGTCCTGCTTTGAGCAGGGGGTTGGACTAGATGACCTCCTGAGGTCTCTTCCAACCCTAATCTTCTATGGTTCTATGAAACACACACTCAAGCCAGCTGCCGAACTTTATACATGCGAACAGTCCTATTGAAATAAATGGGACTAGCTGTGGAAGTAAAGTTACTTGAGCGAGTAAGTGTTCGCATGATAGGCACCCAAAGCCCCAATCCTGTGACAAGCTTTGCGTGGATGGACTCCTGCCCCTGCACAGAGTCCTACTGATGTGGGTGCAAGGACCCCTCCGTGCATTGCAAATGGCAGGATCCAGCTCTAAGAGAGACCCCCCCAAAGCTCCGCCAAAAACAGCAAGTCCCTGTGACTCGTCTAATGAAAGAACTGTTTAAACTTCGCCCACAGACAGGGCTGGGAGACACTACAAAGCGTTGAAGAAAGCATGGCAATGCGCTAAAAGTTTCTTAAATATTTAGGTCAGGTTTATTTCAAGGTAAGTCAGTCTGCAACACCGTTTATATTAAAAACACTTGGAGGTTTGTACTTCTAGCAAAAATATACATTTCAGTTTGAGGCTTGTTACAACATTAACGAGCAAAAGTTCCTCAAGTGATGAAGAGAACATGAGCCCAGCATCTCCTGGGGGCCAGGGCTGGCCGGGAGTCACAGCAGCACTCCAGAGCAGAGGGCCGCAGGGTCACTACAGACACTTTGGAAAGGTACCAATCACAAACCCATCAGTCCATCATTCACACTTCTCTGGCTCCTTTCACAAGAGGACTTCAAAGTGCTTTACAAATGGGCCTCATAACACCCCTGTGAAGTAGGGAAGGAAAAGGACTAGCCGGATAAGACAGATGGGGAAACTGAGGCAAGAGGGGAGGCGTGACTTGCCAAAAGGAGCGCAGCAAGCTGGCAAAGAGCTGGGAACAGGCCACAAAGGTCTCAACTCGGAGCCTCCTCATGCACTAGTCACTAGACCAGGGGTTTCCAAACAGCAGATTGTGAGCTTGATGGACTATTTGTTCACTTCACCGTGATTTTTACAGGTGGTGCTAAGGGAACCAGTTAAGTTTGGGAACCGCTGCACTACACAATGCTCCTTCAATTAAATGTACATTGCTTTGCACTAGTGTGTGCAGCCATGAACCATACCTAAGAGGGGTAATGCCCCTGCGGGGAGTGTGTGTGTGTGGGAAGACAAGGAGCATAAGGGTGGGATAGGCTGCAGTTTTGGTGATGACGGGCGGGGTGGGGGGGGTCTGTATCAGTCCCAACCTCTGATACGGGTGCCTACTAGGGAGGACAGAAGCAGTGGAATTGCCAAGCAGTTATGGAAGGGAAGCAGATTATTTCTCTGCCTCAGATTTTTAAGACATTATTGCACCAGGGTAACCCATTACCCCAAAGGGACGGGGAAGGAGTGTAATCCAGGTCCGTTAATGAGCCTGCTCAGGACACCAGATGTGCCCTGCCCAGTCCTTTCACAGCCACCTGGTCTTCTCTGAAAAGTGTGCAAATACAGCACTGCCTTATTCCAGGGGCCTGCTCCATGCGTGTCTCTAGAGGACCCTTTAGCTCCCTGCAGGGAGCTAGAGTCTGTTCTGCCTTGTGCAGCAGCAGATTTGTTACAGACCCTTTATTACCAAACAGGATGCAGGAGCAGAAAAAGAGCCCAGCTCAGCTGTCAGATCCCAGGCGGAGGCTGCAGGGAAAACTTTTTCCACTTGTCAAGCTGAGCCCATTTTTTCTGGCATCCATGAGACACAAAGATGGAGCTCCAGGCTGCCATCTGGGCTTCCAGGCCTCCCTCTGCCCCCGATACACAGAGAAAGCTGGAGAAGAGCATTGAGGTAAACTCCCAGCACCAAAGACTTAAGAACCGTGCAGGGCAGTGGCTCTCACATTGCTTTATACTGTGCTACCCAGACAGCCACCTGCTCATCTCAGAGCAATCATGGGAGGATGCCCTGCATCGGTGGCAGCCTCAGTGCCATGGTCACATGGGAGCTCTACAAACACCAGCACAATCTCCTCCCCCATTTCTGGGCAGGCGTTCCTCCTTTTGTCCTTCCCTTTACTGTTCCTGAGTTGGAGCTCAGTGGCTTTGGTCCAACTGTCTCACATGTTAAGACTAGACAGACTCCAAAAGCCACAGATGGAGTGTAAGTGCTGCATGAGACGGGACCTTGGGTCAGCTGCTACCGTCCCAGCCAGAAAACCTGACTCAGCCCCAATTTGCTGGGGATACAAAGTGAGAGAACATGAGACTTCCATTTCGGAGAGGCAGACAGTACCCCAAGCTGCGAGGAAGTCATGATGTGTGATCGCTGTAGGTTCATTAGGGTGCCCGGCCTGTCAGACCATGAAGCCTGAAAGCTAAACTGGTACTTGCAGCTGCCAACATAGCATCAAATGAACAGAGAACTGCTAGGTAGTATTAGGTTGGGGCCAGCTGCTTCGTGCCTTGCCTAGGCTCTTCGAACAGGCTTCTCTCTTCACCCCATCATAAACCCCCCGTTTGTCACCATGATAAATGCAACATTTTTGCTTCCCATCTCCCAAAATAAATAATACTTGGTATTTATAATCACACTTTACAGCTTCAATGCTTTTTTTTTTTTTACAAACACCCTAACTAGTTAACCTTCACAGCCCCCCTGCAAGGGAGAGTCAACGATTAGTCCCATTTTACAGATGGGGAAACTGAGGCATAGCAGTTTGACTTGCCTAAGGCCATAAAGACCGCGGCAGAGCCAGGAATAGGATCCAGGGGTTCAGGCATCTCAGACCAGCGCTAGTCACTCTCCAGCAGCAGGTTTCCCTAATGCTGCGGCATCACTGCCTGCCACTCTCCTAGAAATCTGACACGGAAGAGACCTAACAGGTCACACATCTTGTGCATAGGCCTGGCCGCTGCAGGACTGCTCCCCATGCTACTCTAGTCCCTTCCCACAGGCTGGGGGAACTCTATGATTTGCAGAGCAGAAGTCATGCTTCAAGCTGAGCATTCACTAAGGCCTTTCCCATTCCCCATCAGCCCTTTACTTTGCAAAGAGAACAGGCCTTGCAGCCCCCACCAGCCCCCTCTGGAGCTCAGTGAATTGCACAGCTGCAGGGTGCTACATTTTGCCCTATGCCAGTGGCTCCCCAGCAGTTTCATTCTGCAGACCACTTGGCAAGCAAAGGATCTCCTCACGACCCACCTGCCCTAATCCCTCAAAAGGTCTCGCCTGCCAAGAGAGATCCACCCCTGTGCACACCCATCCCATCTCAGCAGATTGGTGCAAGTGGAGAGCTTTACACAGGACACCAGCACCTGAACCTAGAGTCAAAGTGAATTTAGTGCTGACTAGAGTCTAGGCTGCACCAGAGACTGAAGTTGTGTCCACAGAGCAGGGACAGCCTAGGTGGTGGCTGGGCAAGCTTCCCCTGTACTGCTCCACTAACATGCCCCAGCTCTGAGCAGGGAGAGGTCACGCCTGTCTTGTGAATCCAGGGGACTAACCAACGGTCTCTCCCCCAATGAAGCATCAGTACCCTTCATCAAACAGTCAGACCATTCTTTGGGAGATCCATGCATCCAGAGAGAGAGAGACACACTTCCTTTTGTTCCAATGTCCCAGGCTTTACAGCTCAGGCCTAAGAGTCTGCCAAGTGCAATACAAAACCAACGCACAATGGACAAGTGATGTAAGTGCTGTTCCTGGACCTGCCGGATAACGAAGGTACTGAGTGGTCTCATTACATCAGACCATACCCTTGTCACTCTGCTGGTGCCATAATCCCACCTTCTCTGCAATGCACGTAAACACGTGGGTCGCTTGGAAGGCAGAAGGGAGCGGCGTGACAGCTGGGCTGCGGCAACAGAAGCCTCGCTTATGTTTTGCCTTTGAGGTTCATAAGTGTGTGTTAACGGAAGCCCGGGCTTAGCACGCAGTAGCCACGAAATCTCATGGCAGGTAGGCCTATGTACCATACGTAGAGATCATCTAGAAAATAGTACCAAGTAGAAGAAATGGAAGACGTTGTGGGGGGAGGGCGGGGGAGGCTTCTGGGTCACCATACAAAGTGTTTTGCTCAGGATCCATGGCTTTAAAGCTCCTCAGTACATGTCCTTGTAGATTTCCTGCAGAAGCGGGTGCAATGAGGTCTCCGTCTCTGTCTTTTTAATCTTCTGCACCAGCTGCGCGTGCTCGGTCACCAGCTGCCGCAGGTCAGCCATCTTCTGGAGCAGCTTGGGGAAGAGGTACTGAGCGTCCGGGTGGTTGGCCTGCAGGTGGAACTCCAGGGCCTGGAGGATGTTGTCCTGTATCCCCTCCACCTGCTTCACGTCCATAAGGCCAGGGCGGTCTGCAGGGAGAGGATTAACGCAACTCAGAGCACTATCTACACCACTCCCCTGTTGAGTGCTACCCAGAGGGAAACAGACAGCTGCTTCTGAGCAACTTGCCCCAGGCCATGCGGTGAATCAGAAGTTCATGGTCCCTAGTCCTGTGTTCAGGCAACTCCCTTCACTGGACATTTTGGGGCCGAGGGCTCCACCTCCACCTTCCCTGTTTCTCGTCTGTGTTTGTTATGGCCCAACCGCACAACGATGCAAGGGAACACACAGATCTTGGGAGTCACTGGAAGGCTTCAGTTTCAGCTGTACGATATTCTTCCCCCCTATTCATCCACTGGTTGCTAGCCCCAGGAAGCAGGGCACCCACTCTGGAGTGCACTGCTCCTGTTCTCCAGCAGGAATGACCTCAGACCAACTCCCTCCAACCCATGCCCAGCCTTTTTAACATGCGCATGGTTGATGGGCCCCAACTCACCCCCGCACAGGATAATGGCAGCCACAAAAAGAGAGAGGTCGCTGTCGTCCAGCTCCAGGGCGTTGAACTTCACGGCAAACTCAAACTTGGGCTCCATGATCTCGCTGAAGGGCTTGCGCAGGCTGCGCAGGAACTCGCGTGTCACAAACCCGTTCCCGTTGGCCACCAGAAGCCCGTCCTTGTTCATGATGGAGGCCAGCATGGCGAAGATGGCTTCATGGACCCCATACTTCAGCAGGGTCACCTGGTCATTCAGGTAGAGGCCGAGGAAGCTGGGAATGCTCTTGGCGAACTCTGTGAGCTCCCGCACCGTCTCCACCGTGGTGCACTGGCAGCGGTAGAAGACGTGGACCCCAATCTCCTTGTATGGAGGGATCCCGTTCACAAGCTGCTTCCAGACCAGCCCCTTTTCTGCCTGCCACAGGGTGTCCATGTCATGGATCACGAACGGCTGCATGGAAGAGAAGTGAACAGTCAGGATCTCTGCAATGGGGACTCAAGCTGCTGGCTGTATTGAGTGACTGCACTTTTACCTGTCCCTAGTGTGGAAGATCATTCAAAACCCTCCATGTGTCCCCAACCTTCCCTTCCATATAGTGGCGGATGCAGCTCTGGGCCTCCCAACTGCAAGGAGTCTGTAGCTATGCCCTGGAAATCCAGCAGCAAGCTCTGCCGAGCAACGAAGGTTGTGTGCTTACTAGCAGGTCATGGGAAGCCTGGAAGCATCAAGGCCTCCATTTCTGATCCTGAAGCCACCTCCACTCCTATTTCATCAGCAGCAAGGCTGAGCGCAGTAAAGCTCACCAGACAGTCACCAAATCAGAGACACTAACAGCACATCGGTTGACTGCTGTGGCAAGCTTCCACCTGGCACGTTTGCACTTTATGCTGCACTGGGCTGCTGCCGCCAGAAGCCTGTTGAACTGCAACAGCGAGAGGAGGACTGCAGCATGTCAGGAAGCTGAGGGCAACTATCACTCCTCTAAGTTACTTTTAGCCCTGGCTGTTGGAGATACCTTTGCGGCGTATCAGGAACCTTGAACAGTGGGAGCATGGTGCTGTACATGAATCAAGTCAGCAGGGAAAGGAGGAGAAGAGAGAATTCCCCAGCTGGTTTCAAATGGAACTGCTGCAGTTCTTCACAACAGATGGTGGAGAGTGTTGGTGCAGGGATATAACTACATCTCTGAATGGCAAAGCACTTCTAAACTGGGGGCTTCCCCACAGGGAACCCCACTGCATCCCAATGAACAAGGCTGGGGGATCTATCTAGAAAGACATTTCCCCAATACAACTCCCTACCCCCACCCCGCCCCCCAAAAAGAAAAAGTAATGAAGAAATCCATCAACAATGTCAAATACTTGATACGATTGTAGAAATGTGGGGCTGGGAGGGACCTGGAGAGGTCACCTAGTCCAGCCCCATGCGCTGAGGCAGGAAGAAGTATAGCGAGACCATTCCTGACAGTTACCGTCTATTTCAGAAAGACATTCCTTTTGGGCATATGCAAATCATTAACTCCTTGGCACCAGGATTCAGATTCTCTGAAAGAAGTCAATTGCCAGCAATGGACATGCTGGAAATCACTAGTGTGAATGGACTGGATATAGTCAGTGTTATTAATTTACCACTGGTTAACCTGTTCTTAAAACCCTCCAGTGACGGGGATTCCACAACCTCTCTTGGAAGCCTGTTCCAGAGCTTAACTACCCTTATTGTTAGTGAGTTTTTCCTACTATGTAACCTGAAATTCCACTGCTGTAGATTACTGCTTGTCCTACCTTCAGTGGACAGAGAACAACTGATCCCCATCCTCTTTATAACAGCCCTTAACATATCTGAAGACTTATCAGTCTAAGTATGTCACCCCACTTTGTCAACAAACCACTGATAACTACTCTGAGTACAGTCTTTCAACCAGGTGTGTACCCCCTTTTAGTAATTTCATCTAGACCAGTGGCTCTCAACCTTTCCAGACTCCTGTCCCCCTTTCAGGAGACTGATTTGTCTTGCGGACCCCCAAGTTTCACCTCACTTAAAAACTACCAGCTTACAAAATCAGACATAAAAACACAAGAAAGTGTCACAGCCACTAGTACTGAAAAATTGCTGACTTTCTCATTTTTAACCATATCATTATAAAACAAATCGCACCCCCAGGTTGAGAAACACGGATATGGTATATAAAGCAGTATAAACAAGTCATTGTATGAAATTTTAGTCTGTACTGACTTCGCTAGTGCTTTTCATGTAGCCTGTTGTAAGACTAGGCGAATATCTAGGTGAGTTGACATATGTAGCCTGACCCAAAGTTGGGTATATATAATTGTAACTTGAGGATTAACAGGTTCTTGTCCCAAGATCTAGCCCAGTAAGATTATTGTAAAATCATCATATAATTTGGGAACCCCGATGTGCACAGGTGCAACACTCACACTATAGGAACTCTCTCTCTATATATACACACAAATATATATATATATATTTATTAATAATTTAGCAAATACACACAAACTCAACAAGGCAAATAGAGATAATACAGAAAGTACATTTGGACGTCCATACTTACACCCTTATCTTTCATACTTAACCATTATCTTTCTCATCACCATCATCGTCCTCATCATCCCCGGTGGCCATCATTCTGGCCCCTCCCAAGGTCTACATCTCTCTAACCTATCTGCTGCCCCTGGGATGTTACTTTTATAGTAGGTTACGCTGACGCTGCCATGACCAATGAATATTCAATAGAGGTCCTTATTTGTATTTCCTCCCCTTAAGGTGTCTGTTTTCTATAGGTTAGTATATGTATTTGCTGTCATGGCATCTTTGTGATTGGAGGTTCTGTCTGGAACCTTCCGGATGCTGGAGTCAGCGATGTTCTGTGGGTGGCTGATGTCAGTATTCTGGACAAAATTCCCCTCTGGCAAGTCACTTTCAGTTCCCTAGAACGTATGAGTTACTTAAGTTCATCTATGCCAAAGGTTATAGGCCTCAAGCCTCATACCATCTACTAAAGCCAAATCGTACAGGATAAAAGCCTGTAGGTTCCTTGCATTACTACTAAATATAATAAAGCAGAACAACAAAGCAGTTAATCTAATACAGGTAAGCTGGCCCACACATACCCTCTGGAAGACCTCTGCATACCCCTGGTTGAGAACCACTGATCTAGACCAGGTTTCTCTTGTTTCCTTATGAGAATGTGACAGGGGACTGCATCAAAAGCCTTACTAAAAATCAAGATATCACATGTCTACAGATTTCCCCCATCTACTAGGCCAATAACCCTGTCAAAGAAGGAAATGAGTTGGTTTGGCATGATTTGTTCTTGACAAATCTCTGCTGGCTATTACTTATAACCCTATTAACCACTAGGTGCTTACAAACTGATTGTTTCATAATTTGTTCCAAATATCAAAGTTAGGCTGACTGCGCTATAGTTTCCAGGGTCCTCTTTGTTCCCCTTTTTAACGATAGATACTATGTTTGCCCATCTCCAGTCCTCACCCATCCTTCATGAGTTCAAAGACAATTGCTAATGGTTCTGAGATTGCTTCAAGTACCGTAGTGTGAAGTTCAGATCCTGCTGACGTGAATACATGAAACTTATCTAAAAATTCTTTAGCCGATTCTTTCCCTAGCAACATGCCCTGCCCTGGAAATAAAGGCCAGTGCTTAGTGCTGTTATTAGCCCTCTGGTCTGCCCACCTGCGAGGAGCACTCACCGGGGTGCTGCCGGTCTTCCCAGTGAGGATGCCTCTTGCCTTCTTTTTGGTCATGTTGAAGTTTTTCAGGTAGGCATCGTAGATGTGCTTGGAGAAAGCTTTCAGGTCAGCCACCTGCGGGTTCTGGCAGCTGATCTCGCTCACCATCAGACCCGCTACCAGCTTCCTCTTCTCTGCTTCTGGCATGCGGCCAAAACGAATTGCTGTTACATAACAAAGCGGGCATGATCAACAAGTCCTGGGAGAAACCACAAGGGGCTAGGGATGCTCCTGAGAGGACACACACATCTGCACTGGCATCAATGACCAGCTCCTGGCAGTAAGTACCCTGCGTGTACAGGACCCTGGCTCCCATGGGAACCTCTGGTTTAAAGCCTTCAGTGCGACAGAATCACCAAGGCACCATGGTGCAGAGCTCCTCCAGGCTAAGCACTGCCCTAGTGCATCAGCGTGAGGTCATTATAATCTCATGTTCCAATGAAGACTCAGTTTAGATCTACAGTGCGAGCTCTCCACTGCAGTAATTTGGGCCCACAAGAGACAGAGACCCGCTCCTCGGACAGGCACCGCTCTTCGTTCAATAAGAGGATTGTTAGGCTTTAAACTAGTGTGTTTTGGATAAAAGCACAAGAGCCTTCTGCGCTGTCCGTTTCTATGCACACTACACATTCCAGGAACAAACAGCAATCAGAGGTAGTTGCTTGGCACTTGGCCCAGAGCCCGTGCTGCGATGGACGAATGAGACCAAGGGGAAAGTTGAGGCCAAGCACTGGGTTTGGAACAAACTAGACGCCCAGAGCTACAGGCCTGAATCCAGAGACAATTCAGCCCTTAGGATAAAGTGAGTCGCGAACAGAGTATTGTATGGGTCCTCTCTGCTCTGAGTCAACTCTGAAGCACATCCTGGCCTACGCACCATTCCCTTTGTGCCGCTCCAGAGATGTGAAGAGTCCCTATGCACAGGAGAACCCGAGTGGTGTAAAGGGGGCAGAGACAGCTCTTTGCCCCCCACTCCTGGTCCCCTCTGACATGGTGGGCATGCTAGGGGTGTGGTTGGGGGCAACCTTGAAGCTGCTCTGATTTGCTCCCGGGCCTGAACTGGCCTCCAGCCCCTCTCAGGATAGATATATGGCAGAAAAGCACTTACACCCACCCATGCCCCTTCCCAGTACATCTAGCATCGCTGAGGCAAACAAGGATCAAGCCCTTTGGGTCCCAGGGAACTTTGAGAGAGCAGAGGATTTGCTCTGGTGGTTTTTTCCCCCCCTTCAAAGGTTCCCTGACTCCCTCCTCCTCACCCCCCCTTGTGCAGCATTCTGTGCACTCAGCTGCCGCTCCCCCCCAGAAGAGGCTGCACTGCAGCACTGTGCATACACAGCCTTTGTGGTGAAAGGCGCTGCAGGAAGGTAAAATACTGTTTGCTATTTTTTCTCTGGATGCCCTTTCGCTCTGTTGTCACTTGAAGGCACCATTGTAGCTGCGTGGCTTCATTCAGGAATAAGACTGTCTCTGTCTGCACCGCTATGCAGATCTGGCTGAGGTCTGGCCAGGCAGGACAATTTCTGTTTGCACAAGGGACTAGTGATTTTGAGTGCTCAGCTTGAGACGTTTTAAAGGGGCACCAGTTGTCAGAACGTGCCAGGCACCTGGCCTCTTGAAACCAGGCCCCCCTGCGGTGTCTCAATTGGGTGCCCCCACTCCTTTCCGATAACGTTGGGTACCGCGTGCACAATCGCCAAGGCTTCCCGGTGCCACCCACGCCCCTCACCATTGTGCGACATGCCCAGTGAGAGGCATTTCTGGAAGCGACAATACTGGCACTTATTCCGGTTCTTCCTCTGGATTTTACAGTTCCGGTCACACTTCTCATACTCCAGCTTCATGCGGATCGTCCGACGGAAGAAACCCTGCCGGGGGGGGGGGGGGGGGGGGGGGGGAAGTGTGTGGCAGAGGGAGCCAGGAGAGAGAAAACAGCATTACTAACAGTGCCTCAGAACAGCATCAGCTGATGCCTGCAAAAAAACTGCCTGCGGTGCTCCAGGCTTCGTGCTGCTCTGACCCTCTTAAAGGTTCACTCTGGGCGGAGAGGAGGTACCGGCAGCAAGCAGAGAAGCTGCCAAACAAAGAGACCACTTTCCACTCGGTCCTCTTGGAACAAACAGAGCCTCTATCACAAGGGGGACGATGCAGAAGCCATTGCCGAGGGCCAGGGAAGGCCTTGATGTTATGTACACAAGTCGAGAAACCAGGCGATTGCAATACCACACGGGGCCAGCAGGGAGAGACGAACAAACAAGTTCTAACTTCCCAACTCCCTCGCTGTTGACTCCAGCATTTGCTAGCCCTGAGGAATGTTTGGCAGCACCCAGGCGCTGGCTAACGCAGCCCCTCCAGCATCTGCTGTGGGGGAAGGAATTTTATAGCCATGTTCAAGCAAGGGCCGCATGCTCACCGGGCGATAAGAACACAGGTCCACTGTTGGCTTGCGGCAGAGATCAGCCAAGGAGCCTCTTTAAAAGCAAGCCCGGTGATCCCGGAGTTTTGCTATGTGAAACGCAATGCGGGGAGAAGAACAGAACTATGTTGCTGCGCAGCTGGGGAAGGCACTTGCCCTGCGGAGCTCAACTCCTGCACAATGTAGGACCCCAAGGCAGCTCCTGCCTCGCCCAAGTCAGAGCCTCTGCCCTCTGTTACTGTCTGTCTTTCCACTCCCCCACAATCATGATCCATTAACACCACAGCCCCACAGAGTTAAGGGCAAGATCAGAAGCCCAGGCTATTAGGAACTCAGTGGGTTTCAGTTTTAGTTCTCCAGGGTATCACAGAAGGGCCCAATGGACAGTGTCTATTGCATGCACTCCGTACCTTGCAGCCCTCGCATGCATGCACTCCGTAATGAAATCCTGATGCTATATCCCCACAGACCCTGCATTCCACATTCAGACTTGCAGCGGATGTCTCCTCGCAGCCCATCTGGAGTTGGTCCGATAGGGATGGAGAAGAGCTCTGGGAGAGGTCTAAAGGGATACAAAGAGGCAACAAAAAAAAGTGTTTCTAGGCTGGTGCAGCATGCACGTGGACATTTAACAGTCTTACAGAAGAGTGACTGAACAGAGAAGATCTCATCTCTTCTCCAGGTCATCAGAAGCCAGGACAGAAGCTCTCTACGGGTCAGGCTACTGGCTTCTGCACATTATTGATGGGAAACAAGAGTTTTCATATTGTAACAATTTCATTCATTTACGTTGTTTTCTTCCTTTTGGCATCTGGATTCAGGCTGGACAATGAACCCCAATGGGTAAATTCCATATTCCCAGTTCTTAGGCACTAGCCCGATGCGGTTGTGCTGGGCTTCTCAGGACTGCAGGGGAAAGATTTAAGCAACAACAAAATACTCGCTTCACAGCAAGCTTTCCCTCCCCTGACTAAAACCCACTCACTAAATTCTGGGCCTAAAATTACTTGAGCGTCCCTTGAATTTTAGTCTTCTGACTCTCAGCGAATGGCTGAGCAGAACGAATCACCTTCTTTTTAGTGAAGTGATTAAGCCTTTCAGGAGCTTGGCTGCCAATGAATCAGTTCAGAAAAAAAGATTAAAACAAGACAGACTCCATTCACACGCAAGTCCCTGTGCAGCTCGGCACATAGGAACAGACCAGTGCCTGGAACATCTGGCAGGCGCCAACAGCTGCTGCTTCAGAGGGAGGCAAGCTTCCTGCAGCACTTCATTCACATCACTGTCCATGGGGCAGAAAATTCCTTCCTTACTCGAGACAAGTTGTGGCACAGGGCGAGATTCCTCTCACTTTAAGCTGGAAATTCTATTCTTAGTTATACAAACATCTGGTCATTTTCAGCCTCTTGTTCGAGCACTCTCGGCCGAAAGCCTGGAGCTGTGGAACTTACTCCTGACAGGGCTGTACCACTCTGGCCCCCCTGCACGCTGCAAGATTTGTTTCTTTATGCAGGCATTTTCCATTGGAAAACTGGTTTCCACCCTGTGAAGCCAGCATCCATTGTTCATTGGATACACCTGCTTGATGCCCAGCTGTGCCCCTCCCACTTACCTGTATAGCTGCTAGAAGGCAGCAAACAATCTGGTCCTCCGCTTGGGTCTGAGGTTTCACCTGCTGCTATCACTGCCTCTTCCTTTTCCTCCTTCTTGACCTCAAGTACTTCCTTCTGTAGCTGTTCCATAACTGATCACCCCTCAGTGCCAAGACTGCAGCCCCTGTCATAGCTCTGGCATCATCCGCGTCTGTCCGGAGATGGACCCCTACCAGGCTGTTCCTGCTAGCCTATGGGAAAGATGGGGAAACATCAGAGGTCAACAGCAATAGAACAGCTTTTGTGTGGAGCTTTTACACCACTGGCACTCTATTACACAGCAGCCGAGGAGAGAGAGGGACTACAACCCTGCTAGTCCCACTCTGGCTTCCCTGTCTATCTAGAAAAGGAAACAGGGCCAGGGGCCTTTGGCAGGTTATTGCTGTGGCCAAGACACCTACTTCCTCCTTAGAAAGATGCTTCTCTCTCCAGACCCTGATTTTTACCAGCTTCCAGTACAAACGGTCCATTTTCATGTAGTTCATTCAGAAAGCCGCTGATTTTTTTCCACTCTAAAATCCACACAGTTGTCTAGGTCAGTCCCCATTTAGAGCCCAATAGATGCATGGATCCAGACAGCATGCCGTCCCAGAGGTAAAACACACTGCAACACAGCAGAGGGGACCAGAACCCAAGATGCTGGCCCCGTCCCTCCATTTGCAGAGCTGCAGGTACTAGGAATGCTATGGAGATGTCCCACTATAACTCAGAGTTGGAGGGTCTGATGTCACAAGGTTGGTGGCTCAGGAGCTGTAGCTAACCACCTTCCATTGGAAAAATGATTATGTGATGAGGGTGAGAGAAGAAAGGGGAAAGTAAACCAGAAGCCTTCAGCATAATTATACATTTGTTGGTCTGTACGTCTGCCCAAATCAGGCACGAGAGTAGGCCAGAGCAATCCACGTTTCTGCAGAATCCTATCCAAAGCTGCAGGGCAGAAGCTGGGCGTATCACCACATTGGGTCCTTCCAGAACAACATTGCTGAAGCCGGGGACTGAGACAGCAGCCAAGATGAAGGAATTACACCAGAGCTACTGCCTAGTTCATTTATATTTACAGGCAGGCGCAAACAGAGGAGGCCGGAGGAGAATAGGAAGGCATACAATAGGTCACCACTACTCTGGATTATACTGTACATTCCTTCCAAGGCTCTCAAAGCACTTCACAAGGGAAGGCCAGTATCATGAACCCCATTTAACAGAGAGTAAAACTGAGGCACGGAGAAATGCAGTGACTTGCCCATGGTCACATAGGGAGCTAGTGGCAGGGCTGGGAGTCCCATGCCCCGTCCACTGAATCACAAGGTCTGTGTGAACATATTACATTCCACTCATTAGGTCTGATCCTTCCACACCCACTAAGCTGACAGCTTTAATGATGTTACTAGGAGAGGGACAGGGAAACAAGTGTAGTGCCCCATGCAACAGACACTGCCAGCCAAAAGCTGAATGCTAGACGCCGCAGGTCTCTCTGCTGGCTACTTGCTAGGGCGACAGCCTCCTGTGGGCCTCTGGGATCATACTGGTTTCAATCATGCTGCGAGAAGTTACAGCATTGCTATGGCTGCATGTTTCTTTTTATTCATTTATGTTGTAACTGGCCCCCCTTGCTCTGCCAAAAATCAGTCATTTAAATAGTTTCCTATTGCTCCATGCAGCTGCCGAGCCGCACTCCACCACAAGGTCTAATAGCGACAAAATCTGCTGTACAGTCCAGCTAGTGTCTTAATCCCGGTCTTCCTTTGGGAGGATTAGCAAACTAGCTCCTCGCCTCCCCTTCCCTCTGACGCCCCCATCTCCTCCAAGACACACTGGGGCAAGGGCTAAGATTTCCTTTAGCCACACGAATCTCATAGTCACAAAGTTATACAAAAGAGTAAGTCGTGCATCATCCGTACCTCAGGTACCTCTTCCACCGCCAGCCCAGTAGCTAAGGTTGAGGTACTTCGCCCCCTTGGCTAGGCAGGTTTTTAACAGCTGTGCACAAACACCACTCCCCACCTCTTGTCAAGTGCTAGGTCTCAAAGTCAAAACGGACTCGAGCCCTGACAGTTCAGGACATAGGCTCCGTATCCCAAACGCGTTCATCCTCCAGCCCAGGTCAGCATTGACAGGGTACGTCTACATTGCAATCAAAGCCCCATGCAAGGGCCATGGCTAGCCTGGGACAACTGACTTGGGCTGCAGGGCTGGAGCTTGGGCTCTGAGACCCAATGAGGGGGCAGGGTCCCAGAGCCCGGGCTCTAGCCCGAGCGGCTACACAGCGAGTCAACTGACCCACATTCGGAGACTCAGTGTCACCGGTTTCTTATTGCAGCGTAGGCGCACCCACAGAGGCCTGGTCTACATGCAAAGTTGCACCGCTTCAGCTAAAGTGTCATTGTCAAACCGATTGTGTTACACCGGTGCAACTCAGGATGTGGACTCTCCCAAGCCAATCGAAACCTTACCTCAGGTTGGCCTGAGTGGGTAACTTTACATGCATAAGTTAAACCATAGAACCATTTACATCCATGAAAGAGTGTCCCCAGGGGGCTTCGCATCACTTGAACTACATTGATTTTTAAACCCATTCAAGTTAAACCAGTGCTACTCCTGTGCACAGACAAGCCTCGAAAGTAGGCTGTCATCTGCTGGCAGCAGGGTGGCCTGCGGGAAGTGAGTTGGTGGATCTCAGCCCAGGTCCTAGGTGGCCATACCACAAAAGCCCATCACTGGAATTGGCACTAATCAGCCCCCCCTTGCCGAGACCTTGGCAGAAGCCAAGGATTAGACAGACCATTGAGCCTGAACCTCCCCTTCCCCACAGCGGTGACCCTCCCAGAGCACAATTAGACACACTGGCAGGGCAGTAGAAGCAAACTTGCCCTGACGCTGCCCATGCTGTATATGGTTCATGCTATCATTGCCTTGGGCATATTATTCATTTGGAGTAAGGAAACAAGACAGTCCTGTCCTCACTCCCCCCTCTGCTAGTCCTCTTAGCTCATTGGATCCCACATTCCTGGGAGATGTGCCTATGTCCATGCACACTACCCTTCTTCCACTGCTGGTGCACTTGGGTTGCATCCAGCTCCTTTTATTTACATGGGACCTCGCAGCACGGGGCAGGTCACAGCTCACGTGCAAGGAGAAAGTTCTGAGAGACAGGGGAAGCCCAAGATGGTGTTGAAAGATCACAAGTCAAACTAGAGCATGAAGGCAAATGCACATCAAGCTCTATGCCTGCACTGCTGATTGGAGCACAAGTCCCAGGCAGGAGTCCCGGACCCTACAGTCCCTGTTCAGTGAGAGTTCCCCTAATCTAGGAATTGCAAGATGCTGAAGGCAGGAGTGCTTTGATAGCAAAGTCTGAACTCTCTCCCCCCAGGGATTTAGCACTATGCACCGATACATTTCAAGCGTCTGGGGAAGGTACATTCCAGGCTCCTGGTAAGCATAACTACCCCATTTTCGTTTCCAGTGGAGCCAGAGAGACAGAATACTGTACAGTCTTAAACAAGTGCAGAGAGCTCCCTTTCAGTGCCTCCTCAAGAATACTGAGGGACCATTCACATGTGGTGTTATTGTTGGCACACCCGCCTGGTAGGATGTGGTACACGCGGAGGGAAAACTATTCACCGTAGTTTGTGTGCAAGGAGCTGAATTTTTTTTTTTTTTATTTAATACCCATCTCTCTCTACACACACACACACACACACACACACACACACACACACACACACACACACACACACCCTCCTCCCCCCAAAATCTATCTATAAATGAATGCACAAGCTTCAGGAAAATCCTGTTGCCTGGAACATCTGGTGGGGGGCTGGGAGGAAAAGTCCATGTAGGAGAAGCAAATAGTCTACAGTGGAACCCACACACAAGCGTATTGTTCAACTTTTGATTAGCTACCTTTTGTCTCTGGGACCCATCTGGGAGGGCAAGCATAGAGGACTTATTTTAAACCAAACGTCTATGTAGTTCCCATTAGCTTCATCATCTTCACGGTACGTTGCCATTGGAATAACACTGCCACATTCCTCCAGATGGGTTTTAGGCATGCAGTAATTCACACCTTTTGGCAGTCAGTAAAATAATATTGCACAGGACTGATAGCTGGCTGCTCTGGGTAGGCATTGCCTAGACTCTGAATCAGGGACAGCATCGTCTTCACCCATTGCTTTAAGTGGGCCAGTTTTGCCTAGAGCAACACAGGCCAAATTCCTGGAGGTTTTGGGGGGTGAATGTTAGGATAGTGAAAGGGGTTGAACTGACAAGTCCGAAGTCTACTGATTAACCACAGCACAGGAAATGTAGAGAGAAAGATATTACAAGCTTCACCCCACATTGCTTCCCTACAGGATTTCGCATCTTGGAGGGACACCATCTCTTTAGGTTTGAAGATAGATCAGTCTCCACAGCCCATGCTGTTCTTGGTCTCTCTGCCGCCAATTACTGCCAGTTGCAATGGCAGCTTTTGTAATATGGACCCAGCCGCTGAGACCCATGAAACCATTTTCATAAAGGCCACTGATGAGCTGAGAATAATTTTTGGTCATTATCAGTCGGGGCTGGATATGAACGGCCAGCCTAGAGGTGAAACGTATGGGGAAGTTGTAAATTACTCCCAGTAATGTGCTTAGTGCTCTAAGACAACCTGGTTTCTAGGCCCTGCTCTGCCAATAATCTGCTGTGTGACCTTGGGAAGTCACTTCCCTTCTCTATGCCTCATATTCCCAATCTGTAAAATGGGCCCAACGTTCCTGACCCCATCCCCGAAGAGTGCTTTGAGATCCATACAGAGAATGCCTATATGAGTGCTATGTAATAATATTCTGATATTATTATAGCCCATCAGCAAAAGCCAGGAGCTCTTTAACCTGATCAGTGGAAGTGCCACAGAATTATTTATACTCCTGTATTTTCTCGT